CCCTCCTCCTCCCATCTCTCCCCCTTTTTCTCCGCTTTCCTCATCTTTATCGTTTTCTTAATGAATATTTGAATTTTAATTGAAAATATTTGCAAAAAAATAGACCAATATTCTTTTTTGCTAAGACCGATTGATAGCAGCATTTTTTTTTTTTTTTTTTAGCAGCAACGGCAACAGTAACATTACCAAAAGTATAAGCAGAAGCAAAAGGAAAAGAAGAATAGAATTTAAAATAGAGATATAGAATTTTAGGTTTGGTTGACGTTAAACAATAACTCAAAAAAAAAAGACTAAAAAAAGACTAAAAAAAGCAAAGATAAAAATAAAATTGTGAAGAAAAAAAAAGAAAATTTGTTTGAAAGGATAAAAAAAAAAGTGGGTGGAAAAAAATTGTAAAATTAAATTAGTAAATTATGAATTTTTTTTTTTAATTTTTTTTGCATTTAGGAAAGTAGCGGAAAAAGTAAACATAAAAATCATCGTGACGGTGAAGTACCTCGAGTTGTTGTAACACAACCTTCTGACCTTAATTTGGTTTCCAAACAACAAAAAAACAGTTTCCAAAATCCACCGGATACCGATGACGACCTAACTGATGACGACAATCAGAATCGTAAATTGAAACGTTTATGCTGTAAAATACTATGATAATCAAAATGAAATCAAAATTAGCATCATCAATTTCGTCGTCGTCATCGTCGTCGCCGTCGTCGTCGTCGTCACCGTCATCGTCATCATCATCATCTGCATCTGTATCTGCATCTGTATCTGCGTCTGCACTCAGCATCTGTATCATCGATAACCGATCACCAACGACAACAGTAGAAGGCACAATGTATATAATTGCCTGTTAATTTATTGTACTTTTTTCTTTTTTTTTGCCCAATTGTTATCGTTCAGATGTTTTTAGTTGATTTAAAAAAAAATAGAAATATAACTTTAATTTACTTTTTTTTTTCTTTCTGAAATGCTTACTAATTTTTTTTTTTAAGGCGTTAAGAATTGTCAAAGTAATTTAACTTTTTTTTGACTTACTCGTTTATAGGTGATGATTAATGAAATTGTTGTTAGATATTACAGAAAAACAAGGAAATTGTTACTTACTTTTGTTTAAACAGTTAACAATGATTAAAACTTTGTTCGAAAAAAACAGCGGTAACTGTTAGTTTTGATTCTGTTAAACATTGGTGATCAACTGCTGAACAGTGAGTGTTTAGTTAGATTTCTTTTTCTTAAAGATCAGGGGGAAGGTGAGGAAAAAAAAGGAAGAAATGGAGAAATTGTGGTTGATAGTTGTGGTTGATACGTATATTATATTTGCAGTTATAAATGAAACTCTTTTATAGGTACTGTCATCAACAAGTTTGGTTGCATAGATTGAGTCTAAGCGGAAAGAGCAGTTAGTTATCAGATTTGCCTGTTTTAAAAACACCTTTTTTTTTTCACTTTGTAAAATGATATTTTATAACACTGAATGTTTAAGGGGCTCAACGGATGGATACACACTGACAACAACAGAACGTCAACAGAACGTTGGTTGAAACTTTGATTAGGAA